GAAAGGTGGAGGGCGTGAAGGGAGGGCTAGGAATGGGGAAAAAATAAGAACCAAGATGCATTATGTAAAGGTACAATTACCAATGAGAAATGTAATTGTATACCTACAATGTACCAATAAAAGAATTTAATACAAAAAAAAAAAAATCCTAAGACCAAAGGTGATAAAAATAGCAAAACACTTTTGGTGTATTTAGTAAGATAAAGCCTAAACTGTAACTGAGGGTGGCGGTGCAGTCTACAGCCCCAGCACTTGGGAGGCTGAGGCAGGAGGGCAACCTGGGTTACGCAGTAAGACCTTGTTGTTCTTTTTTTTTTTTCAAAAGAAATTAAAAACCAAAACTCTGTAAGAGGAATATGAACAAAGAAAGCAAAGCTGTTACTGTGTTCAGATGCCTCCCCTCAAGTCTCATGAGGTCACAGGTGGCTGGATCTAGCATGCTGACGCGGGGATTGTGTGATGCTGGGATCAAGGGTGTGTGATTGCTAAATCAGTCCACTGACTGGTTGGCACAGCTCTGGGTGTAGACAATGGGAAGACCCATGCTGGGTGCAAATGCTACCCACTAGGGCGTGTAGCCCGGATAGAATATGAGACAGAAAGAGGGCTGCTGTCCTCACTTGTTACTTTGCTTCTTTGCTGTCTTCTGCCCTGCCATGGACTCGTTTCTCCTCTGCAATGCTCCTCAGCCATCCACCCTGCCCTGGAGCCAACAGACCATGGACCAAAACCTCTACAGTGAGCCAAAATATCTTTCCTCCTCTTAACTTTGGGTATCAGGTATTTTGTCCCAGCAAGGAGAAAGGTAACCAAGACAAAAGGCACTTATTAGAAATGAGTAATAGGCCCAGCATGAAGAACCCAGAGAGACCAATAACAGAGACAGGGTACAGGAAACAATACAAGGCAAAAACACTGTCCAGGTTCCATTGAAATCCAGTTGGGCAGAAAGGACTACCGTCCTCCAGGACCTTCTTTCCCTTTTCTACCGGCTGGTAAAACTCTGAAAAACCCACAGTAGTCTCAGCAGCACTCAAAACTTCCCAACTGAGTTCTTTTAAGCTCGGCTTCCTTAAACCTACAAAAACTTCATTACATTGTTCATGGGACTGTAAAATAGTGAAACCACTATTAAAATCAGTATGATGATTCCTCAAAAAACTAATAAAAGTAGAAATTCCTTTGACCTAGCTATTCCCTTTCTGGGTATCTTCTCAAAAGAGTTAAAGACATCATATTACAGTGATACATGATTATCCATGATTATATAGGAGCACAATTAATAACAGCTCAATCTTGGAAGCAACCTGTTCATCAACACATGAATGGATAAAGAAAATGTGGTATTTACATACAATGGAGTACTAGTCTGCCATAAAGCAGGATAAATTTGAGTCATCTGTAGAAAAAGATGTACCTTGAGATCATAATGTTAAGTGAAATACATCAGACACAAGCTTAAATATCTCACAGTTTCTCTTAAATGAGAAGACCAAAATAGAAATAAAGAACAAAATAAAAGGTAATAGGAGATAGATCTTTTACAAAACAGAGGGGACCAAGAGATGGGGGGGCGGGGGTGTTAAAAAAACCACCAAATGCACGCTGGCTTCACAGTCCATTTCTCAAAAGGTTGCTTTTGCCAAGGTCTCTAGACTACAATGGCTCCAGGACAGTCAGCTTCCCGATAAACAAACATAGAGCTTGTGTAAGAAAATAATAATGACCTCTACTTATTATTTTTACTTTAAAGACAACAGTATGAAATTCTTTTATCTAGCCAACTAGAAGATCAGTCCTCAGAATTCCAGAGAAAATAGAATGAATGCAACTGATATAAAATCCTTAAAATAACATAGAAGCACTTAGTAATTAATAAACCTTCAATCATGTAAGAGATCTTATACAACACACTTGAACACATTTCCTAAATGACCTAAATAGAAAATGTAACTATATTATAATTAAATGAAAACAAACTCATTTCACTGTAAGTAATGCATGTAATTAGTAATGTGGGTAACCACTCAGATTATCACAAGTGAAAAATAGCACACTTAAAAAAAAGGTGGTTTTCAGACAAGGAAAGAATGGGAAGTGTTGTCTTATCTAGTGATATTCAACCATGGTATTTAAATTTCACTTTAAAAGTACAATGGGCTTGGCCAGGTGGCCAAAACCTATAACCCCAGCTACAGGAGAGCCTGAGGCAAGGGGCTCACAAGCTCAAGGCTAGCCTAGGCAACACAGGAAGACTAGGTCTCAAAATTTTAAAAAGGGCTGGAAAAGTTGCTCACTGGCACAGGGCTTACCAGGAAGCACAGATGAGGACCTGGGTACTGCAAAAACAAAAAACACACTATGGGATTGCTGTACAGCCTCAGGGTAGAATACTGGGGGGCCTAGGTTAGCATATTTATGGTGGGGCCCAATGGGGCCCGCCATAATTTGTATGATTCACTGCTACCCAGCTTAAACCACTGCTGGTACATGGAAGACTGTCCCATTGGATGGCTTTTTATTAATTTTATCAGTGGTACAAGCTGCTTGATGGGGTAGCCAGGCACATACCCACTAACGGTTCAAGCCAGTGGGAATGTGTTAATTCCCACATTGCAAAAAAATAAAAAATGAAATGAACACCCTCCTTCCCAGTCCAATCCAAAACAAAATAATGGGTCCAATCCCCAGTACCAAAATGATAATAATACTTAACAGATAAGCAACAAAACTAAAAGTACTGGTTTTCTCATTTAAGAAAAATACTTTCCTTTCTCCATTATTATTACAGTGATTTTGTATCTACTTTCAAAAACATCTACTTCACAAAAAAATGTGCCTTGTCCTTTTCTACAAGTTATACTACGGCAGAGGACAGAAATTTTATACTGTAATTTTCTTTACATTAGGCTTTCATAGGTGTATTATAAATATTACTATTAAGTTAAAATACCATTAGTTCAAAATGCTACAAATGGGCTAAACAAGTGCGAAAATGATCAAAGTAGAACATGTTAGCTGCAAACTCAATAGTAACTATTTTATGAGGAAGGAATAACAAATAGGGTTACCAACTAGCTTTACTTCTTAAAGCACAACACTGAAAATTTTGGGGTAAATTCAACTGGAAAGATGTTGTGGCTCTTGTCATAAACAGGTAGGAAAAAAAGGGCTACATTGAGAAATCATATACGTCATCTGCCATTTATGTGTTAGGTCTGGGTTAATTTCAACTGTTAGTATCTAAGTTCTAAATAATTCATTATGAAGTAGGTAAGACTTTAAAAACACTTCTTGATTTATTCCCTCTTTGGTGTGAGAATGTACAATCTAACATTGTAAATCTATTCAAATTTCTACAAATCCCCAGGAACCCCAACAGCAAAATCACTGGCAATTAACCAATTACATACCTGGCATTCCTGTAGCCAGACCCTGCCCAAAAGCCAAAGTTGGATTTGCAGCTGCAGCTGCTGCAAGTGATTCTGCTTGCTGTCCTTGTTGACCCTGGTTGGGAGTAAGAGGACGCTGACCACCTCCAGCACGAAGAACCTATAAAAGACAGATGAGGGCCAGGGATTTAGCTCAGTGGTACCGCTGCCTGCCTCCCAAGCGCAAGGTCCCAAGTTCCATCCCCGGTACCAAAAAAAAAAACAAAAAAACAAGACAGATGACTTTCTTAAAAGCAGTATTATAAATGTTATAAAATTTTCTTGAGCTACTATGTACATAATACAAGTAGACGTGGGATATTTTTTTGAACATGGAACATTCTTTTTACATGCAACAAAATGTGTATTTAGTATGAAAAATTACAAAATAATTTAACGTCAAAAAACACCACTGAGGGCTGGGGATTTAGCTCAGTGGTTTCGCCGCCTGCTGCGCAAGTGCAAGGACGAGAGTTCGAACCCTGGTACCAAAAACAAAACAAAACAAAACAAAAAACACCACTGGTTATTTACAGTTAGAACAACTTATTTTGTTTTTGGTGCCGGGGATTGAACTCCAGTCCTTGTGCTTGCGCAGCAGGCGGCGAAACCACTGAGCTAAATCCCCAGCCCAGTTAGAACAACTTATAAACCAACATGAAGAGGGCCAGGGATTTAGCTCAGTGGTTCTGGCGCCTGTCTTGCAAGCATAAGGTCTGGAGTTTGATCCCCAGTACAAAAAAAAAACAACATGAAGGTTCTAGAAGGTCTCTGGGTAAAACTTAATCTCAGATGAAGACAAAAAAATTAGATTTTATTAAAATTATTTTCTAAAGCTGAAAAGAAAAACAGAAAGCTAAGAGTATTAATTATTTTTGTTATGAGATTGTGACACAGAGCAAAATCTTCAAATCAAACCAAAGTGTTCAGAATTCAGAAACTCTAAAAATGAGTAAAAGCTGCTTTCAACACAAACCTTAGTGTGAAAAAAATAGAAGGTAACATCAAAATAAAGTAAGAAGCTCTTAAATCTGGTCAAGTTGTACTACTTTGTACAACACAACTATTGTAGTGATGATATACAAGCAGGATGAACTTAATCGTGCATTTTACAAATGCTTAAACAGAGTTCAGGACCCATGGACGTGAGCATCAAACACAGGTATGTACACTGTTACGGTAATATGATATTTTTATGTTTGGTCAAAGAAGATATAGATTAGAACAATTTATTAAATGATGATGAGATACGTAAAAAGACTGAGTCAAAGGACAATTTTCACAGAGGATCAAACACAGTATTAAAATATATTAAAGGAAATTCAGAATAAAATTCAACTGCTAAGTAAGCAATTATCACACATCTTTAGGTTGCTTCTTTGGTGTAAAATATGATTAATGGGACAGGCACGATTCTGATATATATATCAATACTGAGTATTTATCTTTTCTGTTGTTGCTTTTTTTTTTTGGTACCGGGGATGCAACTCCAGACCTTGCGCTTGCGAGGCAGGTGGCGGAACTACTCAGCTAAATCCCCAGCCCAGCTGTTGCTTTTTTCTAATACTATTTAGCAAGATAGCTCTTTGAAATGCTGACATTTAAAACCAAAAAAAAAATCTCACAATATACACTTTCTGTTTTAAGAATTCTAAGGTAAACTTTAAGCAAAAATATTTCACTTTGCTTAAAAATGAAAAGGTTTCTAACAATCTTTTAATGGTCAGAAACATTGTTTAAACTTATAATTTAAATACCCAGAGAAAAAAGGGGCAGTTAGTTTGAAAGGAACATTATTAGGATACTTTTAATGAAGGAAGGCCTACCTGTTGCTGTCCAGGTTGTGCTTGTGATGCTGCTTGCTGACTGGCTGTGCTGTTTGCTGCCGCAGCAGCTTGCTGCTGAAATAAATTGGCTGGATACACCCCCCATGGAACACCATAATACTGTGGTGGAACCACTGCTGGACCTAAACCGCACACATCCCACCAAAAACAAAACAAAACAAAAAGTCACTGGATTTTACACATAAGGCTCATTACCTACCATCAGATTATAAAAGGGGACAAGGAAAAAGATTTAGGGCAGAACTCATCCTTCTGCCCATTTACATTTCTTATACTTTCTGCTTTTTCTGATTCTGTTAGGAAGCAAGTATTCAGGTACAGATTATTAAAAGAGAAAGTGTTCAGGGCCGGGGATTTAGCTCAGTGGTGCCTTGCCTGCCTCACAAGCACAAGGTCCTGAGTTCGATCCCCGGTACAGCAAAAAAAAAAAAAAAAAGTATTCAAGCAAGGGTCTTCAACTTTTTTTTTTTCGTGGTACCAGGGATGGAACTCGGGACCTTGCGCTTGCAAAGCAGGCGGCAGAACCACTGAGCTAAATCCCCAGCCCTCAAGCAGGGGTCTTAATGGAGATATGTGAAGCAAAACCTAAGGTTTCCAATGAAATGGCAGGTCACCTAATCACTTATTATTCACCATGTCCTGACATGTATCAATGTATGGCTGCATTACAGATAACAGAAAGATAACATTCAGGAACATCAGACACCGCAAAAACACAAGATTTCTTAAGGTCAATTCATCACTTCCAAGTCTTAAAAAATAGTATTTTATGGGGCCAGGGAGTTAGCTCAGTGGTTCCAGCAATTGCCTTGCAAGCGCAAGGTCCCGAGTTCAATCCCCATTAACCACCCCCAAATTTATAACTACTGAAACAAATTACAATTATTTTCTTCTTTGCTTTAAAAATATTCATTTTTTTAAAAAATCAAAATTCTCACAAAGCAATAAAAATTATATGAAAACAAATGAAATGACAGTGTTTATGTGGGTAGGAAAATAAGACTAGTGAGCTAAAACAAAGAACCAGATAAAATGAGCAAAGATGACAGGGATTTAGCTCAGCGGTTCCGCTGCCTGCCTCACAAGCGCAAGATCCCAAGTTCCATCCCCAGAACCAAAAAATAAATAAATAAATAAATAAAATTTTAAAAAATGAGCACAAAGAAAAGTAGGAGCCAGAAAGCAACTAGGAAAAAACCAAAATGAATTGTTTCTGCTCTATTTTAATTGATGCTTCGAGATTAAAGAGAATTATACACAATAAGCACCATCATTATAATATGAATAAAATGCCATGATTCTTGACTGATGGAACAAGTGCCCTAAAAAATCATATCAACACTGTCAAATTTTAGGACATTTAACTGATATATTTTAAAAAATGAAATTCTTGGTTTCACTTTGTTTTCAAAGAAAATAAAGCCCAATATAACTGACTGAATCATTAAAATGAAAATCTTTATTCCTACAAAGTTAAAATATATTTTTAAAGATACCAAGGTAAGTACAATCTACAGTGAGAACTGTTAAAACAAGGAAAAGACTTGATGAAGAAATGATTCACTGAAAAATGAAGTAAGAGCCTGACATCTTCTTAGACCCTCACCATCCAACACAGCCAAAAGCTACGTTCATGTGTGGCTACTCAACAACTGAAAGATGGAGAGCTCAATCTGAGACGTGCTATTAGGGTATAATTTACACAGGGTTTTGAGAAGACTCAGCATGAAAAAATAATTTTAGATCTATTAATAATTTTAAAAACACTGATTACATGTTGAAACGATAATATTTGGGAAATGCTGGGCTAAATCAAATGGGCTAAATCAAATGTATTACTCAAATTAATTTTATCTGTTCTTCACTTTTATCTTGTGGCTACTAAAACATTTTAAATTACATTTTGGGGCTCACGCTGCATTTTTGCTGGACAGTACTGGTGTAGGTGCCTTATTTCCAAATTAAAAGACCTTTTAAAGTTGCTTCTTTCCATCTCAGAGCTAAATGATTTTCTGTGTATAATATATCAGCATTTTATATACTAATATCCAGTTAAATGGCACCAAAAAAGCTCACACCATCATGGAATTATACGGTGTAGATTTCTATACCTACCCCCACTGATCTTGAGTTTCAAAGTCCCCAAATTCCTAGGGAAATATGGATTATTCAAAACTCATTTTAAAAATACCAGAAAGAAACTTAAAGCTACTTAATATTAATAACAATCACTTCGAAGAAGACTGAAGCCAAACAACACCAGCGGCAGCCTGAATTCTGACAATGACCCCACCAGCAGACTTACATCAGTGAACGCGCTTCTGAGGCTGACAGCAGCCCAAACTTGCTTCTATAACCAACTGAAGCTATGCCAAAACCTGAAGCCAATTCAACCTACAACAACTTTTTGAAGAACAGCAAACTGCTTTGCTTATTAAGACTGGGTCTGATCACAAATAACTTACAGATTTGGTTTTTACTTCAGATTTTGAGTGGTAGTCTGGGCTTTGACAATTTTCTCTACTTTCTTTCCAACTCCATACATTTCTGTCCCTCAGTTTGTTTGCATATTTTAACAGTGCTCAAGAACCTTTTTTAGCTATACATTCTCTCAAGATGGCTGAAGATCTTTCACAATCCTTTACCTGGATATCCATTCCATCTACTCCCACTTCACTTTCAGAAAAGTAACTTTACAGCATCTCTGTGGGTATTGGGATTAGTCATTAAAATGGAGATGCATAGGCAATAGTAAGATTTCTAAAGCTATGCAACAGAGAAGCAAACCAACTATGCATATGGAAGAAAAAGAAGTTAATGCTCAGCCTTTCCCCTAGAACATTACAGTTCAAAAATAAATTCCCTGGAAACTTCAGTTCAGTGTGGATGTGTCAGTTTTCTGTAGCAATTTCAAATTTCCTAAATGGATGAAAATAAAGCTTATGCCAAAATTAAAACTAAATCTATAACAAGCAGCAAGGATGAACAATACGTTACCTGCCAATGTTGCTGCTGCAGCCAAACCTGCTGCAGTATATGGATCGGTCCCTGGAGGAGCAGCACTAATAATATATGGATTTGGCACAAATGCAGCTGGAGCAAGGCCTGCTGAGAATATACCAGCTATATTTAAAAGGGGAAAATAGTGAATAAAAATATCAGGCTTTATTTTCTTCACTACATGAAAACATTTCTATTCTGAACCTCAGGTAGAGCAGAACATTATAATGGTACAATTTTTACTAGGTGACTCCAGGTACAGTATGGAACACTACTTGACACTAAAGCTTTTCACTGAAGAAACAGGTATATTACCTGTTGTCTTATACAATTTTTGTGAAAATAAAGTATATGATTGTACTGTACCAGAATATAATAGGCACATAATAGGTGACTGGAGCTAGAACCACCACCACCATCACATATTAAGTTTCTCAGTCAATCTTTATTAAGCCAGACTCTGAGGCAGATATTCCATAGTGAGGAAGGAGGATGCAATCCATTAGTGAGGTGAGAAAAACAAGTCAATCAGGAATTACAATTTAGTACTATAAACACTAATCCACTTTTTATAAAGCAATTAAGAATTAAACTGTAAGTTCATTAAAATTCTATTTGTGCTTAAAATAATCTGTTCACTGTCATATTGTTAACTATGCCTAGGTCAAAGGTTTCAAGATTCCCTTCTGGTTCACCTGTGATGCATTTCTCACAGGAACATAAAACTATGCATTAATATTTGTGTTTTACTTACTCTACAAGCCTAAAACCTACTTACTATACAAACCTATACTTGTAAAAATATATTTTACAGTTCTAGGATAAAAACGTTTTTAAAACTTCAAGTACTATCAGAGTATATAAAGTAGAAAACAAATATCTTCACATGATCTTTACTGATACAAATTCATCTCAATTTTTAAAGGCATACACACCCATACATTTCATATTCTAGTCTATAATCATATTTCTGCTTATCAATGAATCACAGACACCTAAATCAAGAAACACATCCTCGCCCTCACCTCTCTTTGCTCAGCCTCACCACCCCAGCCCCAAAGGACTGGGACAACTGCCTTCAGTGTCCTCCCTGGCTATTAACGGCTCTTCCTCACTCCAATGGGAGGACAGCCAGTCAGCATGGGGCCCCTCCCCACTCCAGCCCCTTTGGAAGATACTGCTGCCTTTTAGAAGGAAGGGTGGGATCTGGGTCCTTTATTTGCAAACTCAACCTTCACAGCAAACTTTTAGCCCTGCCCCTCATACAAAAGTGCACTCCCCAGCCACTTCCCAGGTTCAGTCTAGGGGCTCCTTCCAGTGCTGTAGCACAGGCCCCGCTGAAGACTCACTTTAGTGCTCCTGTTTTCAAAAACAAAAGAAAAAAGCTAGCTCTTTCTTTTTAACAGCTGCATGACAGGTATTTTATTCTACAGAAGAAGCACAACCCAGCCTACTACTGAAATACAATTAGACAGCTCATAATCTTTGTGTATAAATAACGCTATTTAAAAAACTACACAAGTCTCTGCATTATCATTTTATAGGCGGCTAAGTCAGATAGAAATTAATATACAGTCAGAAAGCGAGTGGGCTCTCAAGGAAGTCAGTGGAAAAATAAAGACATCAGAATTGTGGCTAGAGGTGCATCTAAAGAAGGCTAGACAAGATAAAGATGCAGTGGCTAGGGCTAGGGATTTAGCTCAGTGGTTCTGCCGCCTGCCTCGAAAGTGCAAGGTCCCGAGTTTGATCCCGGGTACCAAAAAAAAAAAAAAAAAAAAAAGATGCAATGGCCAGGCCTCCATGCCTCCCTAAGGGATAAACAATAACTTTACAACATGCTGTAATTAGCACCACCCAGTCTAGTCCAGATAGGCCCAGGTTGGTGACCAGAGCATCTGGACCCAACTCTTCCCAAAAATGCCTTTGTTCTTTCCATGTAGCCTTGTTTATGACTCATTTCCCTATTTCCCTATTGGATCAATATTAGCTGTCAGCTATACTTGTAATCTTATAAGCTGATTACAGTTTGACCTACGTTGTACCCACATTGTGACTTTGCTGTATAAATTACCCCTGACAAAGGGCCTCAGTGGCCACCCACCCACTACTGGGACCTCTGCTGTCTCTCAAAAGCTTTCAATAAAGCTGTCCTACTCTTAAACCTCCACTGTCCCTTGGAGTTCATTCTTCGATTTCAGGTGACACAAACTCGGCACATCTGACATCTAGCAGGTTTGGAGTTACATTTCTCCTATATCAACATCCCTATGAAATTTCACTTAAGTGGCGAAAAACACGTAAGAGAGAGAGAGTGTGTGTGTGTGAGAGAGAGAGAGAGAGTGTGTGAGTGTGTGTGTGTGTGTGTGTGTGTGTGTGTGTGCTAAACCCAGAGGCTTAAGCATGCTAGGTAAGTGGTTCTCTTCCTTTTTCATTTTGAGAGACAGGGTCTCACCAAGTTGCCCAGGCTGGCCTCCAATTTATAGCCCTCTTGCCTCTGCATCCCAAGTAGCTGGGATTACTGGGATGCACACCTCAGTGCAAAGCTTTAAACAGCCAAGTTCTTGATCCCCATTTTTCTTTCTTTCTTTTTTTGGTACCAGGGATCGAACTCAGGACCTTGTGCTTGCCAGGCAGGTGCAATGCAGCACCACTGAGCTACATCCCTGGCCCTTGATCCGCATTTCTAAATTTTCATACAGGAAAGCTGTCCCAATTTATATTCCTATCAAGAGCAAATGAGAATGTCACTCATAACTGTGCCAAAACAGGACCTTATCAAACTTTTTTAAATGTTGCCAATCTGAAAGGTAAAGTAAAACATTTTAAAAAAAAGCAACTATTTTTTTAGTTATCATTGAGACAAAATGTATCACTTTCATATCACTAATTTGAAACGTCAAGATTAAAATTCGTGTATGTATCCATGAGCCCAAACAAAACCCATTGATCTGCATGACTAATAAAAAAGATGTGAAGGAAAATGATTACAATTCATGCTAAAGTACAGGAAGCACAATGGAGGCCAGAGACCACTCCCCTCAGTTGCATGCTCCAGAAGCAGGAGGTGAAAGACCAAAGACTCAGGACATTTCTAGGCTCCAGGCCAAAGCTTCGGAGCACAGGAGCACAGCAGATCTGCTGGCTTGACATTCAGTAACATTTTCCCTGCTAGAACCTAGCTAGAGTTCACAAATATGGGCTGCGTCTCACCTATGTAATTAGCAAAGCCTACAGAGCCAGAGTGGACGTGCTTGCTAGAGGCCCGAGATGACTCAGCACCAGGCGAATCACTCCTGTCAATCACATGGGACTCCAGGAGAGGCACCTGGGCTGGGTGCGCACCTTGTAAACCCTGAAAGCCTGATAGTTTTCGTGTGCTGTACTTACTTCCCTGCCACCCCAACACCACTTTCCCGTTTGTGCCAGCCACATTCTTGATGGCACAGACCTGTCTTGGCCACAGCACCCCATTACTTTCAATAAATGTAACTGCTTTTTCTTTTACCATTGGATGTACACTAGAAGGTCTTTGTTTATTACAGATAAAAGCCTGGAATCTGTTGGATATACAACATGGTACTGAGATAGGTAGAAAGGAGGTAAGGAAATCATAATTAAAAACTGTGTAACTCCCAGGACACAGCGAAAGTTACCTAAGGCCTTGGTCAATTATGAAAGTTAAGGTATACCCTGAAAAAAGGACAGTCCGAACAGCAACATTCTTTGGCCGGATTTATACTCTTTCCCTACCAGACCCATCACTAGTAGGCCATAAGTTGGCCCAATAGAGAGAGTAAACAAAAAGTTGAGTAAATCCAGAGAATGTGGAAATCACCTATTCAAAAACAAAACACCAGGGCCCGGGGATTTAGCTCCGTGGTTCTGCTGCCAGCCTCGCAAGTGCAAGGACCCGAGTTTTATCCCTGGTACCAAAAAAACCCCAAAAAGCCAAACCCATGCCTATTAGTGGGTGAGTACCCATGGGGAGGGGGATGGTGAGCACTCTTCCCCTTAGCTTTTCAACCTGTCAAGTATAAATGTGCTCAGCTGCAAACTGCAAGGTGTCTCATTTCCTGAGTGCCCGCACTTTCCCAAGTGTGTACAGACATTCTTCGTTTATCCACCAAGCCACGGTCCTATGACTAGGTCTCGTTAAATGAAGTGGTCACTAAATGAGGAAGTGTATATACAGCATGAACACTGCAAAGTTCAGAACAAAGAAATGGTCAAACTCCCAACTTGATGACTTTAGTTTTATTTGCATAACTCTTAATGGAATACTGTAAAACTACAGTACCGTGTAGTAGTCAACAAAAATTACACTACTGTATAAAAACTGTGTACTGCACAAAAAAAGACACTGAGGGCCAGGGATTTAGCTCAGTGGCGACATGCCTGCCTTGCAAATGGACGGTCATGAGTTCAATCCCCAGTACCAAAAAAAAAAAAGACTGGCTGTAAGTCCAAACAGCACATCTTGGTCATCAGTCTGAACAGGTGGGTCATCAAACTATTGTAGACAGCTAAGTTAATTTGATATATTATAGGCAGTTAGACAGGACCAGACCCTCAAGGGACTCAATACAAAACACAACTGAAGTACATTTACTGAAGGTAAGGATTTAAGAGTAACTACTACACTGACATACTTCCCCTAGAGATGAACAGCAGTGACTGATATTCTAAACAGGCATCAATCTCCTTGGATGGGGACCAAAACTTCCCTAGCCCATTCCTTCCCAGAAATCCTTGTTCATTCCATGTATGCTTGCTACCCCATTTGATCCTCATTTAATCAATATTACCTAAGCGACTATACTCGTAATCTAACTGGCTGAGCAGTTTTGTCACACCTCTTACCTACCTTGTGGTTTCTCACTGGATCAATTATTACCTAAGCAACTATACTTTTAATCTTATTAGTTGACTAGTTTTTGTCCCACTTCGAACCCACCTCACCTCGTGCCTTTGCTCAATAAAACACCGTTGAGAAGTGGGGTCTATGGGTAACCCACTTTCCAGACTCCCTTCTGTCTCTTAGAAGCTATCTTTCCTTTAATAAACTCTTTCTACTCTTAACCTCCGTTGTTCCTAGAATTCATTTTTCGATTTTAGAGAACACGAACTCAGAGTTTTTGACATCCAGCAGGTTGGGAGTTATAATATTTCCCTGGTATCATTTGGAGGTCTATAGATCATACACTTTATATCAAAACGAGGAATATCTGTACTGTATTCTCTGTCTTTGCCTAGTAAACCCCCTCATGCCTCTTTCTGGCACATCCTGAAAATTCTTTTTCTGCAAGCCTGCTGCAGTTGGGTGAGTCAGACCCAGCCTGATCACTATCACTCTCACCCCATCCATGGCATTCCTGTCCACCATTTATATGTATATTTCTCAGCAAACACCACAGTTTAAATCATTTAAGTGATGGCTTTGAAATATGGTGGAGTAAGTCTCCCTCTTGTACTTTAGTTTTTCCATTAATTTTGTGAAACAAAACTCAAAATCCAAAATTTAAGTTTCAAACAAACAGAATCCTCACCGCCTGCTGTGCAAGCACAAGGACCCAAGTTCGATCCCCGGTACCAAAAAAATAAAACAAAAAACAAAAAAAACCAGAATCCTCTTGGGATTCTGACCAAGTGTACAACAAATCCACACATCAATTTAGGAAGGCCTGAAATCTCTACAATGCTGAATTTTCTCCCCTCACCCGCCCACAATCATGTTTCTCATTTATTCAAGAGTTCAGAAAAATTTAGTTTTACCAATACCTCATGTATGGTATCTTTAGTCACTCTCTACTCCCCCATATAGCTTTTTGTTTCTCTTATATATTTCTCATGTTCTCATTACTATGCGTTATTCTGGCATATTTTTAAAGTTTTATTTCCTATCTCATTCAGTCCTAGCTAATAGTTATGCAGCCCTCTCAGAACTATTTTTTCAAAGACTTTTATTTACAAAATCATGAAATAGTTTGCTTTCTCATTCTGCAGCTTCAATACCCCTAGTAACCTTTGATGGCTTAGATCCTTTATCTCTTAAATTCAGAATATACTATTAAAGTTCTTTTTAAAACTTTTAAGTTTCACCTTGAGTATAGACTCTTTTATACAATTGTTTTTCAGTGGATCTTTCTAACTGGTATTGTCAGTTTTATATGAAACACTATCTTATATGTGTTTCTCTTGGACTCACCTGCCCAGAAGGTAGTAATCCTGATGGCCTCAACCATATTCCACAGGGTCAAATCTCCAAACCAAGTCTACTATTTCCTTTGGGGCTCAATCCTCACACAATTAGCATGACTGAAACTCCAATTCTGCTTGTTTGTTTTTCCCTCTTTTGGCCCTTTATAGGCTTTTACTGCAGATCACAGCTATAGGTTTTCCCTGATTTTCCAGTATTATAGAAATTCCCCAACCATTTATACAACTCTTGCTTTTTGCTTTGAGTTTGCAAGCAGATGCTCTCTCTTAAAGAGTGCAGATGTCTATTTAAAATATATATATTTTATCTATGGCCCATTCTGTGAGCCAAGCCTTCCCTGTTACCTTATTTTGTACAAAGAATAGCTTCACCATTTTCAGAGAGCTAGAGAAAAATTCATTACATGGAAATTATATGAAACTGTAATTTCAGTGCCCCTAAAGATAGTTTTATTGGAACATAGCAATGCTCATTCATGTACCACCTACAATCACTTCCATATTACAACAGCAGAGTGGAATGGTGAATGCCCTACAAAACTTTAAAGTTACCATTTGGTCCATTATAGAAAGTTTTGTCAACTCCCATTCTAGAATAATCTTCAGAGCTGCAGTGACTATGGCAGTTAACGGCCACCTGATCATTCGATGTGTGACCGACCTAACTTGAGATCGACACTAAGTAGGAAAATGCACACATGCTTTCAAAGACTTCATACGCAAAATTTCTCATTAGTGTCATATACTGATTTTGAAATGACATTGTAGATGAATTAAAATAATCCATTCATAATAAATTATTCAAATTAATCTCCCCCATTTTCCAGTTTTAAAAAGCAGCTACAGGGACTGGGGATTTAGCTCAGTGGTTCCGCTGCCTGCCTCACAAGCGCAAGGTCCCAAGTTCGATCCCCGGTACCAAAAAAAAAAAAGCAGCTACAAAATAAATTACATGTGGTATGTACTATATTTGTATTGGATAATGCTTTTTTTTTTTTGGTGCCAGGGATCGAACTCGGGAGCTTGCGCTTGCGAGGCAGGCGCCAGAATCAGAGCTAAAACCACCCAAGAGATGACTAAGCCAGCTTTAATTAAAAAGACTCATGGTCAATAATAAATACATGTAACTCTTGAACTAAGATTAAGGTTTTCAAATTTATTTGCACCAAATGGCCTAGGATTCAGTGGTGGCAAACTTATGGCACACACGTCACAGTGGGCTGTTTCTTATCACTGAAAGCTCTTAAAAGGTTCGCTGTCACTGGCCTAGAGGATTTCTGAGTTGTTCTGCTATACCTTTAAAGATTATGTAAATTCAATGTTACTTAATATACTGTGACATTAAAAAGGAACATCTCTAAATTATTTATGAAGCAAGCATTTTGATACCAAAACTTGATAAACTTCAAATATGTACAGACTAATATCACTTATACATACTGACAGAAAAATCCTAAAACATTAGAAATTGAAAGAATAAGTTAAAATAACAATTACGTACAAGTCTTTCCTAAGAATGGAAAGAGTCAACTGTTAAGAGATATTCATAAAATCAAATATATGATATTCAAGAGCTTTCATACAGTGTAGTTTCAAGCTTAACAAAAGACAAGGTCATTTGATAGCAAAACAAAGTACTTAAGAACAAATTTAAATATGCAAATTCTTTTTTTTTTTTTTGGTACTGGGGATCAAACTCAGGACCTTGTGCTTGTGAGGCAGGCGCCAAAATCACTGAGTTAAATCCCCCGCTCAAATATGCAAATTCTTATGAGATACTCTAAAGAATTTACAAGGGCCAGGGATGAGCTCAATGGCACCATGCCTGCTGAGCAAGCCTAAGGTCCTGAGTTCTAACCCCAGTTCCGAAAGAAAAAAACGAAAGAGAGAGCGAGAGAGGGAAGGAAGGAAGGGTGGGCCAACTTATGAATGATACTACAGTAGATTTGAACAAAAGATACATTATGCCTTGGATAATGCTGTGAAAACATTAAATTTTCTGTAAATTAAAATATTTAACCTGATCATCTAGAAGTAGATAAGGTGGTCCTAAATTTCATTTTAAAAAAGCCAATAAGAACAAATCCTTTAAAAATCTAAAAGGCAGGGCCGGGGATTTAGCTCAGTGGCACTGTGCCTGCCTTGCAACTGCAAGGTCCTGACTTCGGTCCCTGGTACCAAAAAAAAAAGTAAATTAAAAATAAAACATTCTAAACACTTTAAGATCATCATTTTTCTAAGCCTAGTCAAAATGGTAATCTGCAAGGACTCACCTATATGTGGCTGCTGAGCTGCTGCTAATGCATATTGCTGCTGTTGAGCTGCAGTTAACTGCTGAACTGTTAGTGCATTAGTCCTCTGAAAGAGCTAAGGAAAGTATTTAATACAAAGATTAGTGTCAAAACATTTCATTTTTAATTCGAAGCTGTGAAGAGATATTTTAAATACTGGTTTGAGCATTTTCTCAACTTCAAGGACATTTTAATCAATGAAACAGTATTAGAGAACCCTTATCATCTGAAGTGCTGCATTGCACTTCAGGTTACACCATTTACAGCTGAGAGAAGTTTCTTTAAGGAGGGACACACTTTACCTGCTGCTGAGAATTGTAGTCAAAAAGGCCTACAGCAGCTCCTGAAGAGTCCATGGGTACCTGATTACCAGGATAGTCAAACTGTAAGGAATCCAGACCAACTTGTTCCATGGCATCCAGATTCTGAGTTTCAGGATGTGAAAATTCTTCAACAAGTGGTTTATTAGCTGTAGGATTGGGAAGAGGACCCAGTCCTTCTGGAGGATTAGTACTGGGGCCAAGGCGCTCAACTACTTCAGTTGGAGAGGCCTGACGACTTCCAGGAGTACGACTAAATAAAAAATACAGAGAAGAGCACCATGAGTATAAGCCAAAAGACAAAATGGGGGTGCAACACTCATGAACAACAAATGGTTGTAAAATACAGAGAATAAATATGGCACTCTGGCTTACTAACCACTGTTCTTTATCATATTTTAATTTCTATTTAATATACTTTCTTAGGAAGACATGTGTTGACATGGTATCATTTATTTTTTATATTATTAATGATCACTCTCCTCAATTTGAATAGCATAAGGACTTAATATTACAGGTAAGAAAAACTGGCCAATATCACATCTTACATTTAGACTACCTGAAACTTTTGTCTCAAATCACAGACAAAATAAATGGCAACTACGAAAGGCAGACTTGTCAAGGAACAAATGCAGGGAGGCTCAAAATTAAAACCCAGCAATTATACTGCTGGTCTTGCCCACTAGTACATTATTTTGCCAAAACATCTTAACAATATTTACCCAAAAAATTGCCTTTACATAATTATAGTCTTCGCAATTTAAGGGTGTAAAGCCTGGGATACAATAAAAAAAGGCACTGAAATAAGACAAAAGGATGACTCCAGATTCTTTTTAAACATGATTTTTGAGCAAATCATTTCATCTTTCAGACCCCAGATTCCCATAACTGAATAGATGATCTGGTGGCTCCAACTAACAACAGAAACGATTTGTGAAACCCCCCTATAACACCTTTCCAAACAGCACCTTTATCATACCAAATTCTGATAGTTTAAACAATCAGAAAGAAATGTAAATGTATAATATAAATAAAATGTATAACATATTTATGAAAAATTAAATCAACGGCATGAAAAAACTTCTCTGTACTACGTCCTTAATTTTTCCAAAAAATTCATTAATACTGGATTAAATTTTAAGCATTGGCTTTTCTCTTTTCATTAACATCTTTCAGGGTATAAATTTTATTTTTACCTTATTTCTAATCCTCAAGTCTATTTTCTTCTATATAGGTATTTTTATAGGATTCTTTCCCTTACAAAAAAAGAAATAGTTTATTTTTCTGAGGAACCATGCATTCACAGTATATTCAAACATAAGTATATTAAGTTAATGGAAATTAAGTGTTTTACCTGGCTCTTAATGCCACCTTACATCCCTCTAACGGCCCCTAACTCCAGGGGCTCCCCACACGGGCACAAACGTGCTAATATGTTCAGAATAGTTTGCAAAATAATTCCTAATTATGAGAACTGTTCTCCACTTGAACCTAATATTCACTTAGAAATCAACCACTGTCCCTTTGCATTAGATTTCAAATTTCCTTCTCCTTTAATCACGTCTCACTTGAAAGCTATGTGGAGCAAAAACAAAGTGAAGGGATTTTCTATGAGCATAATTAGTAAAAGGACCCAGGGTGTCCTCACTGAGTGAGCTACACCCACTCTTTAAGTTCTTACTTTGAGACCAAGTCTTGCCAAGGGTCTTGCCCAGTCGCTAAAGTCCCCAGGCTGGGCCTGAAGTTGCGATCTTCCTGCCCTGCACGGGCCTCCTAAAGTGCTGAGATTACAGGCCTGTGCTACCATGCCCTGCTCACAGGTATTCTTTTGAAACATTTTTACCCTGCAAGTAGTGACTAATACTGTATTTAGAACAATTAATAGTTTTTAATACATAAAACTTACTTTAATAAAATTAGAATGCTAATAAAGTTCATAGTAATAATTTAAAGGAAGAAGTGTAACCTTTCACACAAAATAACTCTTTACAGCAAAAAGCAAGAGAAAAAAATCGTGCTGTCAGTGGTGCTACTTTCTTGCTATAGTTAATGCTGTGTTAACAATTCAATTATAAGTGTATAAAATAATGGGTTGTAATCAACTGAGTTTTAAAGGCATGCCCTTTAATAAAACTCAGGTTAGGAACCAGAAAAGCGAACTCAAGATAAAGATCTAAGACAAAACAGACAACATTAAATTTCTGGTCAAAAGAGGCTTATTGGTTTTGGATGCTTTTCTGTACTCAGAACAGACAGAAAAGGCACTGTTTTAAGACACACTGTTACTCTGCTCTGTTAACTAAAGGCAATAAATATAAAAAGCACATAAACCACAGACTGACTCTGTTATCTAAGACCCCACGGTTCCTAAGATTGCAAACAAACAGCTCATTTTCAAGTACCAGCTCCAAAGCATCTGTCTGCTGAAGTGTGCAAATGCAGAAGTTGGTATGCAGCTAACAGGTCCTCACCAACCCAAGACCGACAGTTAAGACAAGCGCTCGCTTAATTACCTAAAGAGACACCCAGAAGATATTAACCTAAATTCTGCATTTAACGCTGATTTTCTGAAGCTTCAAATACGTTCCCCACTTTCTATTTGAAGGAGTAATACCCACTTTCTATTTGAAGGAATAATACTAACAGCAAAAGCTCACATATGGCAATAAAGGTCACTGTTCCTAATTTTGTCTCATTTCTAAGATTAAATATATAAATGAAGGCAGGAGGATACAGTGATAAAGATTAAAATTCCACTGAAAGGTGCTCAAATGGAATCCCAAGAAGAAAAAAAAATCAGAGTAAACTTAAAAACCACTAAATTTTCACAGATGAAAACAGTTCAAATTTAAACTATCATATTACCAAAGAAATAACAGCAGCTTCTAACATTCCTTTCGCAGAATGTACTCTTGGATACTGTTTTGAAGATTTCTTTTTAATAGCTCATAATCATTAGCTAATTTTCCTTATAAAAACAATAAAATATTGGTCCAGATTAAAACAAGATACAAAGTAAAGGAAACCTAAATTGGAAAAATATCTCAATCAGTCACATCAACCAATCATCATAACCCCTAAAGACATAAGCTTTTCTTCTAGAGAAAATTAAAATCTTACTTAAAATCTTTGCCATCGGCATCCACTCCATTTGGCAAACCTCTTCCATTTAGTTTAGGGTCGCCATCCTCTCCTTGTTTGAGATCTCTGTCCTGGTCCTCCTCAAATGGAGACGCCTTGCCTTTCTGATCTCCTCTCTCAGGTCCATCTGCTTCAGCATCTCTAGTTCCCTGAGGAGAAAGAGTCTGTTGGATTCTGGATACTTTACAGAACACAAAAAGAGGCGCCTTCATGTGACCTAAAACTACACTTTTGTGAATGTAAACAATAAAAACATTGAATTTTATTTTAATTTTTTACTCAACTAATTTAGCAAAGGCCAAAAAATTGAGTACAAATTACAGTTATTTATAACAGAAGAGTTAAGGCAACCTTAACTATAGTGGGGCTGGAAAAGCAGGAACACCACAAACTAGATTAAAATATTTAATACAAGAATAATTTTATTTAGTTATTTCAAGATCAAGTACTGCCAGGAATAAACAATTTTAACTTTGAAAAATGTTTTAAACCATGGTTTGATTTTTGTAACATGGTTAAGATCATAAATACTCCCAATGGAGTATTACATTATTTCATATATTTCATGAAGCAGAAAAGCAAAGAAAACAGGTGTACAGATATCTACACAAAATTTCATTTAGCTCTAGAAAGGGTGGGAATAATAAGCTGACTTAAATAACTATCAAGCAAACATTAAGTATTTCTTTACTCAAAATACTCACAAAAGTTCCCTTCCTAAATCGAGAATCCAATTTATCAGCAGGAGAGGAACTTAATACATATTCTACCATGCTCACACCAAGGCCTCCACTTTCTGATCGCGGAGACAATATTGCATTTACTTCACTGTTTCCATGAAAACCCTGTCCAGATCTTCTTTGTACCATAATAGGCTGGGACACTGAATGATCTGTTTGGAAAAAGAATATAATTATGTATTTGTACTTTAAGCTAAACAAAATATCGTTAAAGGAATATACTAAAATGAGAAAAATCACTTATTTTAAATAGTATTAATAATCTTATCATTAGCTTTGCATTCCACTGAGACTCACTGGCTGGGGCACATTCTTCAAAAATACAGAAGAGCCCTCTGGTGACAAACAGGTAAAAGCCTATGCAAACAATATTCAACCAAAATGGTCACTGGAGGTAGAGACATTAACATGAAGGCTGAGTTGGTTAACATCCTTTTATTAAATCCTAACATAACAATTTGTAATGAAGTTTTTAGGAATAAAACCTAAACTAAAAACAGCATGCAAACTGGCAGCACGCCTCCAACTCAGTTATATACTGGACAAATTCAGAACACACCGCTATAACTATCAACACAAATGAGTTTGGAAAACCAACAATACCACAGAATATTCTATTCTTGGGTGAAAACGCTAAATATCACCTGAAGATTTTTAGAAATTTCTTCTAAAGTTTCCCATTTATCTTCAGATGTAAGTATTCACCTGACATGAATACCTTTTCTACATATTTTTTGATGAAAAAGGCAGTATTTAAGATCTGAGAGCTAGTGGGAAACACATATAATTAACACATGTGAGACAGCATTCAAATAGTTCTTGCTGAAAATTCTTAATAAGCCCTAGTTACCTCTGGCTCATTTGTGAACAGGTACAATATTCCTTATTAGGTCTAGCCCTTTCTTCAACTAGTCTATGCTAAATACCATAAGGAGCATTTAGTTATCATTTCATTAACTACAGGAAGTTTTAAATGACTATTTTGTTAAATCATACTAAAACATTTCCATTTCAGTACCTGTATGCATAAGAAATTAGCCATTTCACCCTTGCATTCATTCATCTACACGGTTCAAATACTGATTTGCTGTCTGTGTAATTCAGCATTTTGCTACATATGGGGAATCCAATAATAAGATAATCTCTGCCCTCAAAATGAGCATGTTCAATAGAAGGCAATCACAATAGGGTAAAAGTGCTTCAACAAAAATAATCCACAATACTACAGGAACAAAAAAGATGGGTCACTGATTCTTCCCAATCTTAAGAGTGAGTGAACCCCAAAAGAAGTGATATTTAAGCTGAATGAGAAAAGTAAAGCGTTAAAGCGAGCAAATGGGGAGTGAGAACATCTCCATTACAGAAACCAGCACACTCAAATGCCTGAAAGTGCCAGGAAAACATAACATGACAATTCAAGTACACTGCTTTAGCTGAGGAGGAGTTTCACATACTGTACATTTAAGCCTCCTGGAGTCAAGAGAAACTTCTGTGGAACTTCTGTAGATTGACAATTTCCTTAGAAAAAGAAACATTATTCATGTTTGTACATGATTGGCATTCAATAAATGTTAGGTAATCAAAATTCCATTTCTAATTTTCTCATTTTGTAATAAAAGACTAATATGAAAATTTTATCTATACAACTAAAATTAAGATCGGAAGTCATATAGAAACTGATTTAAAATGATGTATTTGACATTTTCTCTACCACCCATCTTGAAAATAATCTTTCATTTCCATGTTGCCATGTTGTGCTCAAGATGCTTTGCTTGTGAGCACCTTAAAGAGAAACGTGGCTCCAATAATTACCTCTTCAACTCTTTTCTTTTGGTGTTGTTCATTTGTTTTTTGTTTTTTGGTATCGGGGATTGAACTTGGGTCCTTGTACTTGCGAGGCAGGTGGCGGAACCACTGACCTAAATACCCGGCCCTGTCTCTTCAACTCTTAACATGTCCACCAACCAAGTTATCAAGTGTAAAGAAGTACTCTTGGTAAAGAATGTGCCATTTGAAGAGAACGTGTATCTCAGCCCAAATTACCAGAAATTTTACACTGTGGGTCTAATATAATATAGGTTAATTCTAATTGAGAACTCCCTGAGAGCAAGGATCGTATCTCATTTATCTTTCTAGCCTCCAATCCTGGCACACAACCAGTTACACACTGTTCAACCACAAACAAATTTCTAATATTTTAAGAAAATACCAACCTAAATTAGCCCTTATCAAAGATTTTTTTAAAAATGTTTTATTTTGTTTTGGTACTGGGGATTGAATCCAGTGCCTTCACATTAAACTACATTCCCAGACCTTTTTAATTTTTATTTTACTTTGAGACAAGGTCTTGCTAAGGCACTAAGTTGTCCAGGTTGGGCTCAAACTTGCAATCCTCTATTTTGACTGAAAAAGAAAATTATTGAATTTCCTAATCTTCTGGGTTTTAGCTTTTTGGCATTTAGTTTAGTAATAATAAAATTTAAAACTAAAAAGTTTTAAATGTTTTAATATATTTTAATAATTTGGAGACTAAAGAAATATCTAATAATTTACAGTAATTCACACTCAAAATATAAGGTGAACCTGGTAATTATCATCTGGGAATTTGTTTTTTTATTACTTTGGTCATTCTGCATTAACTTAAGCAACCTTCATTAAACTCTGTAATGAAGAGAGAAAACTTATTTGCAAAATACATACATGTTGACATATCTGCACACTTCTCAAATTTTACTAATCAGAAATAATTTTAAAAATACAATGACAAATGATATACTATGCTATTTTAAGAATATAGCTACACCTTTAAATTTACCAATAAACACTGTCACTCCTGCAGGTTACACTCCTTGTGAGTTTCTGTTCCCCTAACAGTTTCTTAGATCCAACTCTCTTCCAGCTACTTATAGAAATAACAACCATTTACACCTGCTCTCTTTCTAGGAGCTCTGTGAACCAAACTGTCTGGTAAACCAAGACAGTTTACCCTCCTTTCTGGTGTAGCTAATGTCTAATAAAGCTATACTGAGCTACAATTAGATGAATCAGTCACGGCTACCTAACAGAAGACTGAAATTCCTATGGTTAAACTAGTATGTCCTCTATTTTTAGTAGTAATTCAGAATTTTACTATCAGTTAATTGAAAAAAAGAAAGAACAAAATGTGCTAAACACGCCTAATCCATTGTGGGCACCCAGAAGCTAAGTGTGCGGTCAGATAGGGGTAAGTGCCATGGGAAGCTGTGAAGCACGGTTCCCGAAACCCTCAACGGATGCCGAATAGAGCCGTTCACAGCCCCACGCGGTAACTTACGAGAAGGTCCCCACGCAGTCTCTCTCCACTCATCACCCCCGAGAAATACGCCTTTTTCTCCATCTTTTGTTGGATCATCAGGGTCCCAAAATTTTTTGGTAGGCAAAAGCTATTTGGGAGGAAAAAATCGACATTTAAATTTTATTCTAATTACAAAGAATATATGGAGACCAGTAAATATATCATTGATATGTACACATTAGTTTTTGATGCTAGTAAAATTCAAAGTGATTTGCTAAGTTGCCTCGTTAATAGTAAAATAACTCACCTATGTTTATGTACTGACTCTTATAATCCTGAACCTAAGCATGACTCAAAGTCCACTTCTGAGTTTATCTTTCAAAAATTTTTGTTATAATGTGATTTTCTTTACTCATATTTCTTCAAAAGGCTTAATTAAAAATTTTTTTATGAATACGTATTTTAAATTTGTTTGTTTGGTGACAGGATCTGGCTATGTTGTCCAGGCTAACTTCAAACTCAAGATCCTCCTGCCTCCACCTCCTGAGCTGCTGGGGTTATAGGCACAATCCACCATGCCCAGCTCTTTAAAGTTCTTACTCAACAAGTAACAAAATCTCCAAGGAATAACTGAAGTGTTTCTTTTCACTTCCAAGAACTACCTTTGAACAAGCTCCCGTAATACAGCTTTCAGGATAGAAAATACTTTTTTCATTCTTACTTCAGTTATTCAATGGAAGTGAACTTCACAACTCTTATTAGTTCTTGTACATTATCAATCTGTCAATCCCAAATCAAAAAGCTATAGGTAGATGATGGAAAACACACAAAAGTCCTACAAATACTTTTGGTAGCAATCTCAAGTCCTTGCACTCTATCCTATACGGAGACATACACACCATGTAAAAACTATGTTGATAAAACAATTCACTAATTACTAAAAATTCTTATTTGGGCAATTCCTAAACATTCCTTAATATATACTCAGGTCTCTCCTCTACTACCCGACACTCTGAGGATGACTTGGGATGTTTGAAAATAACAGACTGGCTTTCTGAAGTACACTTCGGGATTTTTAAATGCATGTTCGTAAAACATTCATCACTCTCAGTCCATAATCAGGTGCTTGTTCATTCAGTGTTCATAATCAAACCCATATATGGGCCGGGGATTTAGCTCAGTGGTTCTGGCACCTGCCTCACAGGCACAAGGTCCCGAGTTCGATCCCCGGTACCAAAAAACCAAAAATCAACATAATCAAACCCATATATACTTCTACTATGCTGATCACACTAAATTAGCTGCATTTGCCTCTTTAAGCCCATGATAACCTCATCTTCAAAGGGCTCGCAAATACAGAGACTGTAATAAAATGTACATCAGTAACGTCTAAACTGGATTAGGAGGGACACTATAGTGTGTTTGCTCGGAGGTGGAGGTAAGGGTTGGGGATGGTGCTAGAGGCTGAAAGGTAAGGAAGACATAAGCCCGAACAAAGTAGTAAATAAAGCATGAACAGAGGCGTAGTTTGAGAAAATGCATGATGTATAAAACACAGCATAAGACAGAGGAATAGATATAAGAAGGCCAAAAGTTAATGCTGGTAAAGCTAACCAGGTCATTACAAGGGCCCTTACAAGACAAGCTAAGAAAATTAGATGTTACACTGAAGCAACAGGAGATCCGGACAAGCTGATAGAGTGACATTATATTATGGAAGTCACTCGAGTTGTAACAATAGCAGAAGAGGGAAAGACTAGAGAGAGAAGACCAGTTTAGGAAAACTGTAACAATAAAGACAAGATAGCAAGAACTGAAAGAAGGTACTGGTAGAAAAGTACTGAGAAAATACAATGGACAATAATGTGTTCCAACAAAGATCCCGGTAAGTAAACTACAACTTCCATTACAGTTAAAAACCTTTTTAAAAATTCACTATAGATTTGTGTAAATATTCAAAATATAAAGCTGATAATACTATTAAAGCATATTTGATATAAATAACTGAGCATTTATTCATAGTAAAAGCCAAGTTAATCCCTTAAAAATATTATTTGTTTGTATTGGGATTTGTTTGCTTTGTTTTTTGAGACATGGTCTCACTTCACGGTTCAGGCTGGCCCAGGTTGGCCTCGACCTCAAGATGATCCTCCTGCCTCAGCCTCCCAAGTGCTGAGATTACAGGCATGCACCACCACATCTGGCTCTTAAAAATATTGTTTACAGAAATCATTTCAGGTAGATTAAAATCATGCCAAAAATAAATGTTTTGTCCCATACTTGATTTTAAAAAAATACTTCAGCATCATACTAACAAAACAAAGAACCCAAAATAAAGTTATAACAAGAAAAGCATTTAACACTTATCTTCTAAGGTAGCATAAATAACTGAAACCCCATGAAGAGACTATCTCAAAAACTTTGCAGATTATGTTTTGTGAGTGACTTGGACTACTGCTGTAAAATGCAAATTGCATAAGGAGGGTGTTGGGGTGTTGGCTGGTTTCTGTGTCAAACACTTACCAAGCACCATACTATGAGCAGCTCATCATTTTGCGCATATTTATAAGTTACCATAGACAAGAAAACAATTTAGTAGTTGAACAGTTCTACCAAAGGGCTAAAGCAACATCCTAGAACTGCTTTCTGTGGCAATGTAGATAATGACTTGTGAACAAGAGTAAGTTATAATGGACCAAATAAAAGAGAAGGAAACAATTTAGTCGACAGGACAGTTAAAAAGAGTTTTTTAAAAGGTTAAATGATAAATTGAAATTTCTTTCAATGAAAGAAACAAATAGAGATTTGCCCCTGGAAACTCTTTTATTGTAGTAGAAATAAAGATGCACAAGGCTAACAAGGCTAAAACAAGGCTAAGAAACCTTAACTATCTGTAAAATATATTATTCAATACCACTTCATATTAGTTGCCTAATTCACAAAAGCAAGGTCAGGGGACTCAGTATTTCTTATCAATTTGCCCTTCCATCCTTCTAACTGAGATCTGGCTGGGATATACAATGTTCTTTAGAAGCACTTCTGGTTTGCCCTCTCTATTTCTAAAGAAATCAGCACCCTAGCATACTGCCTCAAAAAATTAACAAATCAAATTCCCGTCCAACATTTACAGGACATGCACTTATACTTCAGATTTTTAAAATATAAACTATAATGTGAAACACCAAATCTACCAAATTAACATAATCAAAAGATTTAAAAGCTAAATGGTTTACATTATGAAGTTTTAAATCCAGAGGTTCATACAACATCTCAATCCAATCTGGGCACTTTCAAGAAAAACGACGCTACTAATAATTATTGTATACCATTACAACATACATACACAACTGGACTCTATTGGGCAAAACAGGATGAAGGAGTATCCTACATATTAATACACGTTCAGAAGAGACAAAAATAGATGGTAAAAATTAAGGTGTACAGAGAACAAAGTAATTCCCCCTAAAACCCAAGAATGATGCTTTCCTGAATTTTAATCTTTTCTATGAATAAAAAATTTTAGTACTTTTAAAATTTCCAGCTCATATCACTTCTGCACATCTTTTCTATTTCTGATATCCCTTAAAATCAACCAGCAAAATTAAATGTAGTTATTTCCAGTGTGAAGTAATATTATAGTTAAACTGATAAATTCAAAACTGTTGTTCAATTATTATTTGGCCTTGGGCCAGTTAATTAATCCTTCTAAGTCAGATTTCTCAAGTGAAAAGGAAAAACAAAAAGCTCCTGTCATACAATTATAAGACTAGAATAACATAAGTAAATTTCTTAACATATTATCTAGCATGTAACATTAGGAGCCTTTCTATCACAAAGTATAAATCCTACAACATTATAAAACATGAATTAACATACTGGTTTGCAACATGGGTGATTATTTCAAAGAATTATACCATTCATTACATGCCTACAGCTGTTTGCCTTCTTTTTACTTGAGTCAAGTTTCAGCATCCTTGCAGGAAGATGAAACTATTACTTATGAAGGATGGTTGCCTAGTACAGTCATATTCTACACATGGAAATAAGAACCCAAGGTTATACTACAGACAGTGGGTAAATGGCAGCAATGGGATTTGAGCCCATTATCTATTTTCTCTTTACCACAGAAGACAGTTTTTCTCAGATATAGTCCAACTAACCAATATTTCTGAAAATCTTCAGTATTAGAACACCACTAGGCAAAATGAAAAGTTTTGAGATACTGTGATAGTCTTCCCATCACAACAGATATACTATGACAGAATGATCAGCTATTTGAACACTACTGGAAATAACTGGTTTCCTTACCAGCTATCCCTAACGGGCCAGATCAAAGTTTGAGCATCTGAGACCTATGTAATTCATACACAGGTTATTCTTGTTTTCAAAGAAGTTAGTCTTACTCAAGGTAATCCCACTAGTGAGAGATAAGAAAAAGTCTTCTCACTCCCATACTAGTATTGTTTTCCACTTCACCACACTACTTGGATTTTGGTACACAAATTTTAAAAATGTTTCCTTTAAATACTATCATATTAGAAAAGAACGGAGAGGGCATTATTTATCATACTAAGCTATGAAAATAGTCTCAACGTAAATCACATTAACTCAGTGATTTAAAGATAAATTCTGGGTTCCCCAAGGAATTTCAGGCAGGGTCCTTATTTCTATTATTTAAAAAATAAACAAGAACCCAGCTATATATATTATAAGAATGTAGAGATGAAAATATGCTTCTGTCATTTTGCTCTTTTTTGGTTTTCTGAGACAGGGCCTTGCTATGTAGTTCAGGCTGTTCCTTCTGCTTTCATTGCTCTTTTTAAGCTAAATGACATAATCCAAATCTCTAGGTCTTTTGACAAAAACATGCTATTAGGAAAAAATAATAAAGGTGAATTTATTAATAGACGAATATAAATGTTTCCATTTCTGGATGAACAACCAAGAGACTGCCCTTCTGTGGTACATTTGAGATGAACCCTATATGTAAATGGAATGCTCTGCACATTACAGATTTATAACACTTAAGACATAATAAGCAAAACTTAATCCTAAAAGAAAAAGTCAAGAGTAGGGCAATCCACTGAAAAAGGATTTTGCATCACAGAAGAAAAACAAAAGATAAAACTCAAGAGCCAGAAATCAAAGGCTGCTTTTAATATATTTCAATGAATGAATTCTGGGATAAAACAAAACAAAAAAACCCTCACCTGTAAGGAAAGGAGAAGACTGGTGAGAGAGACAGGCAAAGAAGGAAATCCCGGAAGGTGACCTGCTGCCTGTGAGATGAGGAAAGAGACAGGCTTGTGGGAGAGAACCCAGAGACAGATGTCTGAGCAGTTTTCTGAGCTATGTCTTATAGTTAACAGTACTAGCTGGTGAAGTATTAAGAAAAAGCATATTTAGTGAAGTCATTTAAAATCTATCTGTACTGGATGAGGGTCAGAGACACACTGAGCTGCTATTTACTAGGCAGCAGGTAACAGGAGCCCCAGACACCATTGCTTTCCGAGTCTGACATATCCCTGTGGAAAGCCTGAATTTAGCCTTATTCAACACACTCTTCAACTCTAACACATTCTTCTATCCCCAAATAACTAACTCTTTCAGCTACTGTTTCTGACCCTGACATTTCTTAGGACTGGAAAGGTATCTTTAGATTAATCAAATATTATTTAGAAAGAGGGAAAAAGAAAATCTATTTATAAATATATACACAATATACTACTTCAAAGGGTAGGGAGTCTAAAATTAATGTAGGGGCATGATTGTACTAGCTCTTAAAGAGATCCTCGTTCAAGTCTGTCAGACCAGAAGGCTAAAATACCGTTCAAATCTGTTTTAAGGTAATGTTATTTTGCTTTCTAAACACCAAAGAAAACAAGCTTGACTGTGAAAGAACAAAAGCCCTCTCAAATTCCCCCTTTTAGTCTCTCATAGTGTAACTAATGCCTAAGCAGTCACTGTACTGCAGTAAAGCTATAGTTTTTATTAAAAAAAAAAAAAAATATTCCCTCTCTCACTTTTTTTTTTGGGGCCCGGAATTTCATTTTATGCACCGGACTAACAAGTTTATTTTGGCAATACTTAAGCTTAAGCACCTTAACTCACCCTTAAATCAGTCCTCTGAAAATGACAAACTCTTTGGAAAACGCTGTTCTGAAGAAAGGGAGGGTTAGCTAGCTGCAGGGTGCCCTCTTGTGGCCCAAAGGAGTGACTGGACACTTTTTCTGCATCTGAAGAGCACAGCATTGGATGGAGTGAGTCTCATGAAGGTCTCTAATCTACCAAAGTAAAATAATCTCCAGGAGCAGGCAATTAATTACATATCTTAAGTCTGTTTACTATTATCAAAGTCCACACTATGTTAGTAGTACAGAGCATGACAAAATATATGACCACAAGAGATTTCATAATCAAACTTTTCTAAAAATTCACTATGTATATGGAAAACTATTTCAGATGCCTTAAAATATATAATGGTGAGGGTTAAACTGGCGCTCCAAAGAAAACCACAGATTAACAGGAGTGATAAAATTCATTTAAAAATACGGAGTACCTACTATCTTAGGCATTCAAAGCTAGCTAGCAATTTAAAGGAGAGACAAATATAAATCAAACTGTAACCAGTAAGATTATAAAAGTATGTTCAAAGAACTAGGAGAAATCAGAAGAGGAAGTAATTAATTCTACTGCAGATAGCATTGACACAACAGGTAAGTCTCTTCAGTAAAGTCTCATAGGGGATTAGAAGTTTATTAAGCAAACAGCTTTGGATGAACAAGAGAAATTTGGCAGAGGGATAATAGTGAACAATCACGTGTGGCTAAAGCAAACAAAGCATACATACATAAAAGGACAAAACAAAGATAAAAGTGTTTCCTTCTAAGCAAAGCTATGTATAGCTCATTACCAAAATATAAAAATTACCTAACCAAGTTGATCAAGTCACCTAGACACAAATAATCACATTAAAATTTACTTACTACTACAAGTTTAAAAAAGCAGGTGAAAATCATAAATACACAGTTATAATCTTATGTTGAAAAAACATAGTTTGGAGGACATAACCATTGTTTCCAAGATTTATGGTTAAAAAATTAAGTCTCAAAGGCTCAAATAAAGTGCAGTATAAGTTCTTAGTATTGGTAAATATTTACCTCTCCCATTCCCCGAGATTCTAATGCAAGAGCTTGAAAATCATGATTCATTTCATCCACAGATCAAACCTGTTGAATAAAAACAACAATTAGACTATTTCTACATCTGATATATTGCTAATACTAATGTATTAACCATAACCTGACATAGCATAGGCAAGAACAGATTTCTCTATATAGACAGATTTTCCCAAACAGAGTACATCAATGGATATTAAAATTTGTAGAAAAACATGGGGTAAATAGTTTTTGAATTATTCTGTGTACCAGCAAAAAACTACAAGTTCTTGAGAAAAGACAAGATGAAAACAACAGAAAAGAGAGGCTCAAGCACTAAAATATTTTTGTTTTGTTTCTTAAGGTAAAATTTTCTATGACTTTGTTCCTTTCGTTAAGATTCTTCCAAATTTCTCTTCATTATGTGTAGACTTTATACCAATGGTAAATCTCACAATCCTTACATCTGTAAGGCCAGCTCCCTGGGAGGCTGAGGCAGGAGGACTGCCAAGTCCAAGCACAGCCTGGGCAACTTGGCCAGACCCTGTCTCAAAATAAAATATTAAAACTGGTTAGGGTATAGCACAGTGGTAGAATGCCCCTGGGCTCAATCCCCATTACCACCAAAAACAAAACAAAACAAACACTGAATAAAGTGGTGACCCAGTTCCACCTAAAAGCAACATATACTTTCAGAGCAACTATAGTACTCAGAGTGAGGTTCCCTCAAGACTAATTCTTTTTTCTTCTCTTCAAAATAAAACTAAAGGATATTTATCTTTCCATTCCTAAGAGCTTTTTATCTCTCAAAAAACTCCGTTTTATCTCTTATGTGACAATGTGTAAACCCAGCAGCCCTTTGCCTTCTGCAGTTTAAGAATGCGAGGGGAAGAACATTCAAGATGGATGCTACCACAAATTTACAGCTTTCAAATTCAACTGGAAAAATCTGTTTTCCCTACTCAGTTCCTCCTAAAAACTCTGTAATATCTGACACACAAAGGTGCTTCTCCCTTCTGACAGTACTGTTCTGTTCCCACTTTGCCTCATGACAATCACCCCTTCTACTTCCCTCCCCTAGGCTCTAACTGCTCCTCAGGCTTCTTCAGAGTCCTACTTGTCCCCACACCCCTGTATAAATGTTAGTGTCCTTTGTATTCTATCCAATGCAGTCTCTTTAGCTGTTTGCTGGATCAATCAACTCTGCTCTCAATACTTAGAAAGGTAGTAACTATATGCTTAGGACTCCCCCTCCTCCAATTTCCAAAACTCTCTCCTCCTCAAAATTTCTAATCATCTTCCTTCTTCAGACATACAACAGAAAATTTCAACTTTTCTTTCTTCCCTACCTTTAAGTCTTCCTTTTCTTATACCCAATATCCAATCATTTTCCAAGTTCTGCTAAGCCAATATCCTACCACTTTACACATTTTCCATCTGCCTGGTTGTTGAGACCACCTTTGCCTTTCCCCTAAAACACTCTAATCCTCTTTCCATCTTCCTGTCCCACTATCTAATATCCAGAATGTAATTAGTCATCTTTCTCAACTGCAATGTGTGACTTCCGTATTTTAATCCTTCCCTAAAGATAAAGCTTGAACTCCTTACTGTGGCTGATAAAGAGACAGAAGCAGATTCACACCACACTTCCGGCACCTGGTAGTTCTCTAACTCTGGGCAAGTAACGTAAATTGTTTTTTTCTCAATTCCCGCATGCAAGGGTAACTGCAGGAGCCACCACACAGACTTGCAGTGAACACTGCGTTACGTAACAAAATACTTAAAAGAGTGGCTGGTACACAAGCATTCATAAGCCAGTTATGAAAAAGAGCTTGGCTCTATTCATTCAATAGATCACTAGATGTCTGCAATACAAATAAACAAACAAACCTTTGCACCTTATACCCTAATACAAAAATTAACTGAATGAATCATACAACAGCCAGTAAAGGCTAAAATTACAAAACTTCCAGAAAAAAAGCTATGTGACCTTGGGTTCCACAATGTTTTGGCAGTACTCGGAATTGAACCCAGCGCCTTCACACTGAGCTACATCCCTCAGTCCTCCTTTTTTATTGAGACACGATCTAGGGAAGTCAGTAAACTGCTGAAAATTGCAATCCTCCTGTCTCAGACTCCCAGAGTACTGGCATTGTAGGCATGTAACACCAGGCCAAGCTTTCACAATGAGTATATATATCAAAATCAAAAGCAGAGTCCAGGCAGTTGCAAGAGGATCAAAACGTCATGGCTAGCCGAGGCAAGCAACTTGGTGAGACCCGGTCTCAAAAACCAGGGGGAAGGGCCTGTAGCTCAGAGGTAGACAGCCTGGCCTAGTGCAAAGCCCTAACACTGCAAAAAATAGTCTGTAAAAGAAAAACTGATAAATTAGACTTTATCAAAATTAGAAAAATGCCTTACAAAAGGGGGGGTTAAGAAAATGAAAACAAAAGGCTAGGAGAAAAGTACTTGCAAATCATGTACCTAATGAAGGACTTCTCTCCAGAATGTACAAAGAAATTGGCAGGGGGGAGATATCAAAAAATGGGCAAAACATGAGAACTGATACATTAAAAGAGATATGAGCATAGCAAAATCAGCTATTTCTTTTCTCTTAGTCATTAACAGTTCCCACAAAGTAAACATTTCATGAATCTTTCTATTAATTCAGTAAGCCTTTACTGGGTATCTTCAATCCCTAAGAGCCGGGAGAGACAAAAAAAGACTCAAATGTAGTTACTGTTTCAAAGAGTTTACTTGGTTCTCATATGCTATCTGGTAATGGAGAAGTAGCTCTACTCAGATCAAATCTTTCCAACAACTACAAACTGTGGACAGGGTACAAAAACTATCTTAAGGCAATGGAAAACAACTGAAAAACTGGAGGACAATCTATACTTAAAACAAAGCACTGACACAAAGTAAGTTTCTTTTAAATAAAGTTTTTGCCTGAGGATAGCTCCGGGTGTGGAGGTGTACCCCAAAATTTCCACAGAGAACCCACTGGCCCCACTGGACAGTTTGAGGTATCCAAAGCTGCTAGAAAGCAAGGAAGGAAATCCCAAAAAACACATTACCAAATTCTGTATATAAGTAATGCTCTGAATTGTAGATGACCCTTGAACTTACACATTCAGGACATACTCCAAGCAGCCCAGTTAATTTCCTCTGCTGACTACTATAGAAGTCACAGGAATCTGGAGCTGAGTCCCATCAAAACAAATTAAACCCAACATCCTCTGTGGCATATAATACAATCTATAATATTTTTAACATTATCAGTTATAAAGTCTGGAGTACGTACTACTAGCTCAGTAAGAAAACAGGAAAATATGGCCTAAATGAAAAAATCAATCCCAAAATAACTCAGGTTAGAACTGAGTTATTTAAGCTGAGGAAGAATTTAAAACAACTATCAAAACTATGCTCGAAGATGACAGAAATAATATATACTAATGAATGAGCAAATATAAAATTTCAGCAAAGTTAAGAAAAAGTAAAAAAATAACCAAATGAAAATTCTGACACTGAAAAATAACTTTAAAATTTTTACTGGATCCACTTACCAAAAGATTGTAGACAACAAAAGAAAGGGCCAATGAACTTGAAAACAGATCAACTTTTTATCTAAAAAACAGAGAAAAGCAGAAAGAAACAGAACCTGTGACCCATGGTATAACATTAAAAGATGTAACTTACATGGAACTGGAGTTCTAGAAGGAAAAGAAAACAGATTGGAAAATAATTTGAAGAAACAATGGCCAGAAAGTTTGAGGAGAGTTAAGTTTGCAAATTCAGGCTCAGTGAATCCCTGGCAAGATAGAACAAAGGAAAAAAAATTCTGTATCTACTCAGGACCAAAGATAAAAAGAAAATTCTGAAAGCAACTAGAACAGAACAACATATTGCATACATAAAAGGAAACAATGGCATCCATCTTCACACTAGAAACAAGGAGGTCCAGATTATGTGACACTTGACAATGGACTTACTCTGAGAAATGCTTTGTTAGATTTCTTTTGTGCAAACATCACAGAGTATGCTTAATCAAACCTAAATGATATACTGTACTACTACTACTCCTAGGCTACAAAACTGAATGGCATATTTCTGTACTATATACTATAGTCCAAGTTTACACACCTATATAGCATGTTACTGTACTGATTAGTGCAGGTAATTATAACACAAGTATTTTTATATCTAAACATATCAAAATATAGAAATGGTACAGTGAAAGTATGGTCTAAAAGAAAAAAAAAATGGTGCATCTGTACAGGTTACTTACCATGAAGGGAGCTTGCACGACTAGAAGACACTGGGTGGATGGCAAATGAATGTGAAGTACTAGACATTACTTCCACTGTAGATGCACACTCAGGCTATACTAATTTTTTAAAATGTTTGTTCAAAAATAAATTAGCCTTGGCTTACTGTAACTTATAAACTTTCCCTTTGTGAACTTTTAGTTCATCTTTCTTTCGGTTTAAAATACATACAGCTATACAAAAAATAATTCCTTTATATTCTTATTCTATAAGCTTTCTTCTACTTTCAACTTTTTAAAAATTCTTAAGCCCGTCTGTTAAAAACGTAGACACAAACACACATATCTTAGGCCTACCCAGGGTCAAGATCATCACTACTGGTTATTTTGTGGTACTGGCAACTGAACCCAAGGCCTTCACAGTTAGCTACATCCCCAGCCCCACCTCCCTTTTAAATTTTGATACAAGATTCCCCTAAATCACTAAATTGCCCAGGCTGGGCTTGAACTTGCAATCCACCTGCCTCAGCCTCCCAGAGTACTGGGATTACAAGTGTGCCACATTCGACTAAGATCTTCAATACTGTAATAGGGAAAACCTAAATAAACTTGCTAGTTTCACTTGCTTTAAAGAGACCTTAAATTCACTAACTTTTGAGGCCTTGTACATAAACGATGCATTATTAGTCTACCACTAGCTTGGCTGAAGTGGCCTAATGGGTTAAAAACTCCCAGAGAAAGATGCCTTTTGCATCTTAATGATGAACTGCAAGATCAGACATTTCAGGGAAAAAAACTAGACACC